TCTCTGGTTCTTCCATTCGAGATTCCCCAAATAAGCCCTACGCATGTCCAGTCCAAGATGGGTTTGTGAAGAGAATGTATGGTTTCAGGCATCCGACACCGCTAATCTACAGGATTCTTCCCTAAGAAGGTCGGTTGTGAAGCCAAACCCGTCTTTGCTTCTTCTATTCGAGATTCCCAAATAAGCCCTACCAATATCCAGTTTAAGATGGATTTGTGAAGAGAATGTGTCGTTTCAGGTGAGCTCTAATTTTAAACGAGTTTCAAATGAGCTTTGAAACCCTATTTCAGGCGAGTTTCAAGCGAGCTTTGGAATCAATTTTCAGGCGAGCTTTGGTTTTAGGTGAAAGGTAATATTGGGTATTAAAAAATTTTATACATTACGCGAAGTCATGTACATACAGATTTTGACAGAATATTAACGGATACTTACGATAGAAATAGTATTAATTAATTGTCAAAAACTATAGGATGGTTTAAGAAAATAATTAAACAGTAAAAATATAACTAGTCAATTAGATAAGCACTAGAGATAGTTTAAGAAATTTGCCCATTATTTACAAAGATTTAATCAGTACAAGATTAATTGAAAAGTAAAAGAATTGTATCATATTTGCTTAATGCTTTCTCCACCTGGCATTGTGCTTATCTTAATAGCAGCTAACGAGAATAGGTACAAGAAATAAATGTAGAATAAAGATGTATGATTGTCACCCGCAACTAATTAACCATTTTGTAAGAGAAAAAGGATTCGATTTATCAATTACCTACACCAATTTGAAAAGGAAAAGAAAGGGATGGAAGGGAACGGCACGAAAGTCCATGAATTGATTAGATATATCCTCTATTGGACTACCATCGTTAATTTAGTTGCAACTCCTTATAGCAAGAGTACTAGCAGATGTCTCACTACAAAAAAAAAAAAAAGGGTTTTTGCCGGTGGTCGGTGACCACTGGCACAAACTCCATAACCACCGGCATTGGCTTTAGTCGGTGGTTTACCGGCAGTCTTTCTTTTCCGGTATAGGCACCACCGGGGATAATCTTGACCGCCACAACTTCTATTCGAAACCGCCGGTGAAGGTGATATCAATTTGGACCATTAAATTAAGCCAGTACCAGCGGTTTGTTAGAATTCCTTTATTATACTGGCAGTCCTAAACTGCTGGATAAAGTAAAAAAATAAATAAGTATTCTTAAAATATATTATAAATACTGACATTACAAACCACCACAATACAATTAAAAGCAAATTGCTGGCTTGATTTGAAATTGACACATGTGCTGGCAGTTTACTCCGGCAGTTTAACATTAACGACCTAATTCAAGACTGTCCGGTTAGACACCAAGGACCGCCAGTGTAGGTTTTGGTAAAAAATGACCTGCTCCTTTAATCTACATAAATGTATATTAATCTGGTTTTTGATGTATATACAATCATTACAAATTATTTATAAATGTGATGCTAATGTTACATATTATTCTTTTATATACTTTACTAATAAACTTATTGATGTGAGTTTGTCTTTAAAATCATGTTTCAGAGTATGATATTGTTTTTTTAGGTTGCCGATACACAAAATACAAGGAATGTTTGGAGAGCTGCCAGCTTTAAATAGTAGACTAATGGGTGTTGACTGAAACTAAAGTAATGCAAGTTAAAATGGCTAGGGAGAAGTGATATTCAATAAGAATGGCTTGCTTAGAATGAAAATGATATTGAATGGGAAAAAAAATAAATCACGTTCCTAATTTTGATGGCGTTTCACTGAGCTTATTAGAAAATAATTAAGTCTAAATGGTTGAGAAAATATATCAATGTTTCAATATAGTAACAGAGTGGAGAACATATTTTTGATGAAATAAGTTGATGGACAATTAGAATGAATGCCATTTTGTAATTACCAAGGCATCGTTCTTCTTTTTGGGAAAGTGGAGATTGATTATTGAACCAGAGGCTGTACGTAGCAAAGCAAATGTTATTGCAAAGAAAGCGCAAAATGGTTCGGTTCATCTTTCAGTCTTCATGGATGGATGAGGATGATCGTCGTTTGAGGACTAGCTGAAGCGGCCAGTAAAAAGAAGCTTCAACGAAAGGCCCTATACTATATATTTGTTGTAAACTTGTACGTAGGAGTTTTTTTTTTTTTTTTTGAAGGGCTCATTATATTAAAGCTAAGCCAAAATACATATTTTGATTTGAAGAGAAGCGGCCACTAAAAAGAAGCTTCAACGAAAGGCCCTATAGGCCTATACTATATATTTGTTGTACGTAGGAGTTAGGACCTACTACAAAATACATGGTTTGTGTGCGAGGCAAGGCCCACCCGCACCCCCACCTTACCCAACAGCCCAGCCGCTTCCCTCCCAATCCCATATGGACAGAGGACAGTCAGTTGTTTATACGGGATAGCGTACGTTATTAACTGTAGAGTTGTCAGAACTCAGAACTCAGGAAGGCAACAAAACGCTAAAGCCTAAACGTTTGCATCACCCGGGGCCCGGGCCGGACCCGGACCTTCTATTTCTTTTCTTTAATGGTACCTTGCAAGGGTAAGTTGGTTGGTCAACTGGATAATTCATCAATTTCTCTTGTTCGATCTTTGTGGGGATAATAGGAGTTCTCTCGGCATTTTTTTTTTTTTTTTGGATTTTGAGAGGGGGAAAAGTTGGTTAATAGGATTTTGATTTCTATTGACCAATAATCTTATGTTCAATTTTTAGATTAATGTGGGAATCAGGGAAAATTTATACGATCTTTGTGGGGATAATAGGAGTTCTCAAGTGTTTTTTTTTTTTTTTTTTGGATTTTGAGAGGGGGAAAAGTTGGTTAATAGGATTTTGATTTCTATTGACCAATAATCTTATGTTCAATTTTTAGATTAATGTGGGAATCAGGGAAAATTTATATGATCCTCATCTCCTAAATAAATGGATTCACCTAAAAAGAAAGTTGCTAACACTTGATGAGCCAAAAATGTCCCATTTAATAATAGATTTTTATGAATAAAATGGTTATTACTTTATTTACTTGAAAAATAAAAAAAAATATATGGGTAAATACACTTACGCGGGTAAGTGTTTCCCAAGAAAAATTTACCCAGATAATTGCATTTATCCGGATAAATAACTTATCAAAAAATGACATGGCCTTAGAGAGATTATTTGCTTCTCCAAGCAATCAATAGTTCAATACTCTCTTCCGGTTGGTAAATTCAAATTGTCGAAAATGTTAAAAATCTCCCAACCACCTTAATGTGACCCAACCCAACCACATATTTTTGGAATAATTCTTGTCCAAATAAAGACATTGCCCGAATACCAGTAGACAAATGAAGGGTTCGACTATGATAAAGAAAAGATATGATATCTGAAAAACTTCTGACCAATCAACTGAAATTATAAATTTGGTAGCCAATTGGGTGTTATTTATCAAAATTCATAAAAGGATTTTGATTGGTCAAAACTTTTCCCATACCATATCTTTTCCACATCATAGATTTTCCCACAAAGGAAACATTAATTCTTTTCATACTTCCACCGTGTCTGTATTACGTAGAATTTGGGTAATGCTGAATACTGATGCACCCGTAACGCTGAATGGTTAATTTCCCTTATAGATTATATTTTATTTATTTATTATCATTATTCATTAATTAGTGTGTTGTTATGATATCTGGGCCTAAAGCTAAAACTAACTGGGCCAAATCCAGAAACTACCGGTTTGAATTTCGAGTTGACTCATCCAACAATGCTCAGGTGAAGAGGGAAAAAGCGGATTTGACTTGGAAAGGCAGTTTATTTGACTGAAATCACATGAAACGTTTAACATGCAATTTAACAACTTTTTATTTATTTTAATTTAATTAATTGATCATCGAGAATCTAACCATACTAAGATTTGGTGCCACGAACGTGAAGTTGTCTAATGTCTACCCATACCCATACCCATACCCATACCCATACCCGGTTTGAGAAGGATGACTCGCAATATACCTGAGAAGGGTTGAAATTGAACGATTGGATTGATTTGAAAATAAAAAATCAATCTTCTTCTCGGCAGTAGTAGCTTTTACTTGGGTGTGTGCGTCTCCAATCTCCACCACCCTAGCTATATTCCTATTCCTACCCAACAAACCTAACTTTTAGATCCAAAATCACGATAAGTTTATTCCACCAAATCACCATAACTTAAGTTTAATTTGTAGTGGGGACTGCGGCAGCATAGTTAGCTTGGGGATTTGGGTATATCTTCTTTCCCTAAAAATTAACTTTTGGAAGTGTTTATGCAACTAGCATTTCTGGCCTACACCACCGAATCCTTAAAAACAAAAAGACTTTGAGATAAGGTGCCCAATACACATAAAACCCTCTTGGGCCCCATTGGATTGGAATATTTACATCTATTATTATTATTTATTAGCCAGATCATTCTTTATAATTCAATATGATTATGGCACCTCCAATCAGAACCAATGTTGTGCCCTTCGATCGGAATCGTAGAATGAATAATCCAAGAGTCCAATACCAAAATATCAGGACCCATATGTAAAAAGATTCCAATCTAACAATGTGGTCAACATTTCCGGCTGCCTTGCCCATACTTTGACACTTGAAAGAGGCGTTGGGATATGGATTGTGAAATGCTTGCTAAACCAATATATATTTGTTATTTGGCATTAATTAACCACTATTAGTATGAATTATTAATTCCCAATTCCCATGTCATTTAAGATTCAAGTTCAACCCAACCACCACGGCCCAGTGGGCAGTGGCCCACTAAACAAAACGAAAACGACATACAAATTGCTAATTAAAGGACCGCGTCTTTCATTTTCTCAGTCCCAGACTCACTCCCCACAGGCACCACACCGGTTTTTTGTTTCTCAAGTCAAGGGTTGAGACCTGAGACCTGAGACCTGAGACCTGAGACCTGAGAGGCCTGAGAGGCCTGAGAGGCCTGAGAGGCCTGAGAGGCCTGAGAGGCCTGAGAGGCCTGAGAGGCCTGAGGCTGAGGGCTAGTCAGCTAGCTTCCTCCCACTTTTAATTCTTTGTCGCCCTCCGAAACCGCGTGGAGCCCTTCTCCTTTCTTCTTTAATAGCAACACTAAAAAGCGAACCCAAGCCAAATCCACACGGACGTGAAACTCGCGGCTCAAGTGCAGTGAAATTCTGTTTTCAAATCCGACCTGTCTTACCAGTTACCACTACTCTCTCCCTCCTCAGAGGAGTAAAGTTGCCACAGCCATTCCCCCAATCAAAACTATTAAGCCGCTTAAGTAGAGACAGAGAGACAGAAACACAACAGAGTATAGGAAGGACAGAAAGAAAGAGAGAGAGAGAGAGAGAGAGAGAGAGAGAGAGCCAAAAAGATCATCTTGGAACATATCTAAAATTTTGCCTCCAAGATCTTCACTTCTGTGGTTGACATCCCGTCGCCGGAGACAGCAGCTTACGGCCTTTTGATGGACTGACAACTGCTTGCAGGTGAGTTGGGTCTGGCTTAAGGTGTAGAAGATGGCTATAGCTGATGAAAAAACTTCCAAGGAGGGCAAGGTTTGGAGCCTCTGTCGAATGCCCTTTTGGCAATCGGGAAATGCTTCTTCTTCCTCGTCTTCTCATAATCTTCACCAGCAGAATCATCACCAGCAACATGTCGATGGTTCCCATCCTCATTCATTGAACACGGTTTCATCCGTGGCAAGATCTTTGCTCCCAACTAGGCGTCGTCTCCGTCTCGATCCGGCCAACAAGCTATACTTCCCATGTACGCCCTTATCTGAGTTCATTTCCTGTTCGTTGACCCGAGTATTTTCTTCTTGTTTTCTTTTCTTCTTTCGCTTTGGTTTTTTAACTGGAGTAATTGATTGTTTAAGCTTTGATCGATTTGGATAATTGGGTTATAGTTCATTTTGCTTATACTCGATCTCTGACGTTTTTCTCTTTGTAGATTTCATCTTCATTTTGTCTTTCTCTCCCTCTGTTCGGGTGTTTTGGTTAGTTTGGCGAATTGTTATTTCTTTTAATTTCCCATTGCTTGATAATTTCTTGTTTTTCCTATTTCCTGAATTGGGTGATATCCTTTAGTCTCGTCCTACCTGATACAAGCTAGAAATTATTTTCGTTTTACCAATTTATTAGATTTACTTGCTTTTAGCAATATGAAGAACTGGATTGACTTTTTCTCCCTTTCATTACTTTGAATTCTAGTTCTGAGACAAATATGACTTTATGGGTTGGGGTTCCCTTTCGGTCTTAGCTTTGTGAAGCTTATTTTGTACTTTAACATGGAAAATTCTTCTTTTCTCTTTCTTTGTTTTCTAAACATATTTTATCATTTTCTTCAGAAAGGGTAATATTCTCAAACATTTGATTTGATTTGATTTCCTTTTGCGGTGCTGCCGTGCTGGACTTACTTCTCCTTGCCTAACTATTGCTTTTATTTTAATACTTGTTTCTCTTGAAGATGAACCTGGTAAACAGGTCAGAAGCGCCATTAGGATTAAAAACACCAGCAAATCTCACGTAGCTTTCAAGGTATGGAATAAAAGTCTTGAAATTTCGTTCCCCCACTCTTATATATTCACTTCTATTTACTCTTATAGGTTCCTAATTAAGGATTTTGAACATCAAAATCCTGGGTTACTACTCATGATAAATTGTAGATTTGTAGTCATATGTTTTTATCATGTTGTTAAATTAGATTTTCTGTATTAACTTTGTTATTTTATTTTATTATGTCCTTCTCTCATGCATGTTCGTTTTATCACTACCACTGCGACTAACAATCTGTCTGGGAACCTGTTCATGTTGCTCTAGTTTCAAACAACTGCACCAAAGAGCTGTTTCATGCGTCCTCCAGGGGGTATACTAGCTCCTGGTGAAAGTCTTATTGCAACTGGTAATAACCTTGAGCTCTTGTTCATTATGTTCTTTTCTTTGTCTAGGGTTCTCAATCTTAAATTTTAAGGAGCCGGTTAGATGTATGGTCATGTGCCTTTTTTCTTTAGTTTTTACATTTTTTTTAATAGTCCTGCTCATTTTGCTTTGAACTGTCAGTGTTCAAATTTGTGGAGCATCCAGAGAACAATGAGAAACAATTAGATCAGAAGTGCAAGGTGAAGTTTAAGATTGTGAGCCTAAAGGTGAAAGTTGGCATGGATTATGTACCTGAGCTGGTAAGTTTCCCATTTATAATACTCGATAATGTGTTAGTCTTTTTGTCTTAATTTGGCAAGCATAGGAGATAAACTATTGATATCTTAACCTAAACCTAATATTTGACAAGAATATGTTAGTAAATTATTTCAATTCTTTCACGTCTTTCTTTTTTAACTTTTAGTGAAAAATAGTTTCACTTTTTTCTCTAAAAAATAGAGACCCTTTTACAATACTTAAGATCTGTGACAACATGATGACTCTTGACATTGTGTTGAATTTTCCTATAAAAATAACACTCATGCTTATGCACATTAGTCACAAAAAGAAAGGTGGTTTTCACAGGCTCTTAGTTTAGGACCTCAATTATTTTCCCTACTTCTGGATAATTAGTCTTGGCAAATATATATCATCATTGAGAAACTTTAGGATGATGATTGTCAATGTTTTATCGAGAAGATCTATTTTTAATCAACCTTGTTACCATGGTTATTTCTTTCTTTGAGAACTAATGAAAGAACTGGTTTTCAAGTTTTCAAAAGAAAAGGCAATTGCAAAACACTAGCTATTGTGAAACTAGATGGGCCTTTGCACCATAAATTGGAGTAAAGAAAATGAAGGTACAGTGATTTTGCAAAGTTAGTGTCAATGGGCTGGGTTTGGTATGTGATGGTGCGCAATCCGGCCGGTCTTAGCTGTCAACGACCTTGCCTCTGAACTGAATTGCAGGGAACCTGAAACGGAGAAGATGAGGAAGCTTCGGGGGAACCCGGTGTAAAGGCTCCGAAGCTCAAGTTAGAATCCTTCAAAGGCAAGATAAAACCAGATAGTGCAAAGTTTGCATACCTTGTTCTTGGGGGGTAGAGAGCCTTTTATAACCACCTCGCACACTCACTCCTAAGCTTCTGTCAGGTCGGGTATGATTACTTCCGTGCTTTTGCCAGTTTGGGTGTCATCACCTCTGTTGGGGCAGAACCGCCACTGTTCTTTTTGTCGGAGCCGTCTCTATAACTGGAGATGGCGGTGGCAGGTGGCCGTTGAAGTGCGGCTGTCAAGCGTCAGATCCCAAGTCAGTTAGGTGCGCCGCCCCTGGATACGGACTCCTTCGGTGTCAGGTACGGTGTGGTTTGTCTAGTTCGGCGTCCTGGAGGCGAAGTGCTAGAGTGGTGTGCGAGGTGGTCTTGAGTTTGGATAGGGGAGTGTCCCGAACTGCCATGAGGCGGGTCAGTTTGGGTCACTGCTTTGTGTGGCTCGGGGCCTAAGGGAGAGTTCGGGCTCCTCGTAGGGAGTTCAAGCTCTTAGTAGGGAGGTCGGGCTCCTCGTAGGTGAGTTCGGGCTCCTCGAAGGGAGTTTGGACTGTTGGTTTCTTCCTTTTGGTGCTTGCGCCCTGGGTACGTTGTTTTAAGTGCCAAGCTATTTGTTTTTGCCACGTGGAGTGATTGCGAGGTCGGGCCAAATCTTCCTTCATCAGTATGGGTTTTGCCCAACCCCGAACCGGAACCCAACACGACCTGATTGAATGGAGAGGGGGAGATACTGAACCTTTCCAGCCCTACCTCATATGTAGTACACCTATACTCAATTGACACTATTTAAACTATGTTTTCAAAGCTGCAATGTCAATGGGTTGGGTTTAGTGTGGGTTTACCCAAACCCGAACCAACCCTAACTTGATAGTGTTGGGTCAGTGCGGGTTTACCACCTAACCCAAACCACTGATATCCCTAGGCTCAGTGTTATTTTTTATTTTCTAGGGTGGGCTCTGGCTTAGCCCTTGTGTATCCCAAGCCCAGACTAAGCCTAGCCTGAATCCAATCCAACCATCCATCCATACATTGGGCCCAGTATGACTGCCTGACCAACCCTGGCCCAAGCCTAGTCTGAGTGTGTCAAGTTTTAGTTATGGTTGGGTGTGGGGAGATTGGGCTTAATCTCAAGCTTGGGCCTTATGCCCAGAACTTAGGGTTGGGCCTCAGTTTACCTTAAACCCAGCCCAGCCTGCCCAAGTTGCACCCCTAAGAATTTGCATCATTTGGGAGCGAATTGAGTTGTGAACTCATGGACTTTTAGGAGATTCTTGCCAATATGTATGATCTTGTTTTCTAAAATAAATGAAATAAAATGACTGCCACACGAGCAAAATTATATTGTTTTTTGCTGATGCGGCACTTATCTTTGCTTTTGAAACAAAATCATTCATATTGGTAAATGATCACTTAGTGGTTACATTAATCACGTTTTATTAATAATTCTGCTTTTATTGCTGACCTTTCCTAAAATTGGGGAAGAGTTGGAATCTGTATAAATTGGGAGTGATTTGAATTGTGTACTCACTGGCCTTCAATGTTCATGATTTCATGTGCAAATCCTATTTTATTCATATCAGATGGGAGTCTCCATACTTAGAGTCATGTATAAAAAATAGTTTCATCTTTTTGGATTCAGTTTGATGAGCAGAAGGACCAAGTTGCAGTGGAACAGATTCTGCGGGTTGTATTCTTAGATGTGGAACATCCCAGCCCTGTAAGTAGGATTTCAATCTCTCTCTCTCTCTCTGTATCTTACAAGTAATGAGTTTGTTTAAGCTACCAGTCACCATGCGTTCATCCATGATAATCACATTCTTTGTTCTCAGGCAATGGAAAAATTGAAGAGACAATTGGCTGAGGCGGAGGCTGCACTTGAGGCACGCAAGAAACCTCCTGAAGATACAGGCCCTCGAATTGTTGGGGAAGGACTTGTGATAGATGAATGGGTAAGCTAGTTTTATTTTACCCTTTTGTGGCTTTTCTCCCAATTTGGTTGACTTCTTTTTTTTCTTTAAAAAATCCTGCTAGGTTTACTGTTTCTCCTATTTAATTTTTCTCTTTATCTGTAGAAAGAGCGCAGAGAAAGATACTTGGCCAGGCAGCAGGTTGAAGGGGTTGATTCAGTGTAAAGTGCTATTACTTGTTGTAAGACTTTCGTTACTTTTAGATATTTCTATTGTACTGTCAATGAGGAATTTATCATTTTCCATCCCCTGTTGTCTTTGGATTTATAGTGAAGGGGGGATTTGTCAAGAGGTTAAGCTAGAAAACAATAATTTGTTTTTGTTGTGGTGAAAATTGAGATGAACTTTGGTGGAATTTACTGTACTTGATTCTGGGCATATGTCCTTGTAGATAACGAGATTTTGCTTATTGAAATAAAATTGTTGTCTGGGAAGCAATGCACCCAGGTCATTGTTTTGATTTCTCAGCAATAGAGGTTAGAGAAGCCTCAGGATTGCTTTTTTATGTTTTCCAAATTTATGTACTCCATATCCAGATTTATGGTTAAATATCCATAAGTGATTATCTTATGATTTGATAATGCCTCGTTCTCTTGTTTATTCTTTTGGGAGGAAACAGCTGATGCAATATGGGTTATTATAATTGAAACTTGATGCTAGCCCAAACCGAATAATATAGAAAGCTAGATACCAGATGTTATGAGCCAATTCAAAAGGGTGGTCTTGGCAAAGTTGTTTGCTGAGAATATACCAAAGTTCAAAAGGCTGTCATTAGACGCCAAAAAGAATTTATTCTCATTAATGATATTTTACCTTTTATGTAAGAACAAGAAACTGATAACAAAGTTTGCTAGTAAAAATCAGTGTGGGAACCATGCTCGTCTTGTGCCTAGTGTATAAACTGAAGAGGAAATTTTATTTACAATTAGTAAAACTGATAACAAAGGTGAATATGATGTAAGATGATCTATCCATCCACATTAATTTGCACTGGAGATCCAATTTTATGGGTCACAACTCACCTCACAAATTTTTCTGTTTGTACAGTTAATAACAGTGACAAAGTGGTGGTATCTAATACAATTGAAGGGGTGTACTGTATCATAGTAGGTGGGGGTTCGAAAAAAATCAAATAAAAATTTGTGAGGTGGGGTAAAGTGAGAATTTTCTTTTTTTTTTTTATTTATTTTTTAAGGAATGATTAGTTCGGGGATGGGTTGGAGGTTTGAAACTGTGAAATTGTATGATGGTATGCTTCAAGCGTGGAAAAAACAGTGTAAACTATGTATTGAGTTTTAGTCTTCCCCAAAGTTGTATGTTATGTTCAGATTCAGAAATCAGAACAAGTTGGGCCCTTTTTACACTTCCAAACTGGAATCGGTTGAAACGGTGGAAGACGGTCATTGTTGGAGACTTGGCGGTAGTCACATCTGACGTACTTTGAATTCAATAAAAGGGAAACCAAACTTCAAGGAAGGGGTAGCAAACCTTAACACTCAGCCCCAGGTTTAGATATTTGGCATTTGGGGCAGTTGCAGTGATCCATTCGGATGTGGTTGACAAAGCAATTCGTTAAGGCGTAGAGCTAACTGAATGCTAGCAATCTCTTCCTTTTTTTCAGGAGTTCCTACCCACGTCCCTCATGTGAGCGGGGGATTGGATAAAGAAATTTTTTTTCTTTTTTATTTTTTTATTTCATGTCTTTTTTAAGACAACCAATGAGATGCACTTTCTCAATAACCTAAATAATCTATCATCCTAAATTAGCTCCCCCACTTTCTCTAAAATTATTTCTAATTTATATTTCCAAATTATCTCTAATTCCTATTTATCCTTTCCCCTACTTTTTATCTATATCTATCTAAAGAAAGTTTGGATTAAAAAATTTAAGAATTATTTTAATATTCTAACGAAATTATATAATCAATTTAAAATATTTATTAAAAACATAAAAAATAATTTTATGTTTTTACAAAATATATCACAAAATTCTGTATTAACAATTTAAATTATGTTTTTCTGGATTATCAATTTAAATATTTTTTAATATTTAATAATATGTAATAGCTTTAAATAAATAAAATTCAAAAAACAAAAAAAATTAAATAGTTTCTAGATTATTTAAATAACTAAACATTTATCACAACTAGATTTTAAATAGTTAAAATAACGAAATTATGTAATAAATTTAAAAAAATTTCTTAAAACTAGAAAAATAATTATAACATAATATTGACATTAATAATAATTTAATATATTACAAAATTAATAGTGTAATTATGTAATGATAGTATAAATTATGATTTTATGGATAATTAAATTCAATAAATAATTAATATTTTAAAATTTAAATATTTTACATATTATTTAAGTATTTAAATAACAAAATATTTAACATAACTAGATTTTAAATAGTTAAATAAAGAAAATATGTAATAAATTTTAAAAAAATTCTAAAAAGTAGAAAAATAATTATAACATAATATTGAAATTAATAATAATTAAATTTTTTACATAATATTGTAAATAATTAATTTTATTCATATCAAGTAATAATTCGAGAAAATAACTTTCAAAAAAATTAATATTTATTAATAATAATTTTAAACTCTTAATCTATATTTATTATATAATTATATATACTAAAATTAATATTTATTGTATTTCAGTAATTATTTATTGTTCTTTGTGATAAATGTATTTTCAATGATTATGTATAAATTTATTTTGTATTATTATTTAACAGAAAATTTTCAATAACTATTGGAGATTAAATTACCATTATTTAAACTTTTAAATTTAATTTTTGTATTTTTGTTATAAGTTATTGATTAATATTTATTAAAGATTAAATTATTATTTGAGATTATACTATTTATTGACTAATTTAATATATTTTTAGTACTTATTGTATTTTTGTAATTTTTGTAATTACTGTATTTTTCAATAATTATTGGAGGTTAAACTATTGTTATTTATTAGAGATGAGACTATTAATTTAGCTAAAATTATGAGTGTTCATGAGTTGGTTCGGTTCAGTTGTACGCTATTTGGCCAACCAAATTGACCTAGTCAGGTTAGGGAGTTGGTCATATGAAATCAACTAACTTTTTGTGAAAACCGACCCACTCAAGTTGTATCGGTTTTGGTCAATTTTTTGGTTTGGTCAGTCGGTTCAAAATATTTAAACTTAAAAATTATAATACAATTATTGAAAAATAAATTTAAAAATTAGATTTATGATATAAAACATTTTAGACTAAGAAATATGGGAATTTTCCTTTTCAATATTAAAAAATATATTTAAAATATAAAATATTAATATATATCCATGGTTAGGTCATTCGATTTTGGTCGGTTTACAAATAGCCAAAGTGAAACTGATCCAACTTGGTTGAATTGAGAAATTTTTTAACCAAACCCAACCTAAAATACTAGAAAATTGACCAACTCGAGTCGAGTTAATCGGGTTGGTCAGTTTCATCAATTTGATGAATAAACCTAACTAAAATTAATTATTGTTATTTTTGTATTATAAAAATTTTATTAGAGTAGTATATAAAATATAAATAATTATTAATTATTTAAAATTTTGAAAATATAAAACAATTGTATACTCTTATGTGTTTCTATTAGGGTCATTTACTGAAACACACCTCTAAGGATGGCAATTTTCCCCGTCCCCGACAAGGACCCGATTGGCGGGGTGGAGGGTAGGAGAAGGGGATTAATAGGAATCCTCGGTCGGGGTCGGGGTCCGGATCAGGGTCAAAGATGGGGATTGACGTCCACACCCCGCCCCAACCTCGATTATATATATATATATATATATTAAATATTAAATATACTATTATATTATTTATATTATATATATCAAAACATATTTAAAACATTTTTATAATTTAAATTTTTTATTTATTTTAAAAAATACTATTATTTGAAAACATTTTGGGGATTTGGGTCCCACGGTGAACCCATCCCCATCGGGGATTGGGGGTGGGGGTTAATTTTAGAATTGGGGTCAAGGATGGGGAATATGATCCCTGCCCCGTTGCCATTCCTACACACCTTATAGTTTTACATATTTACTTAAACTACCTTATAGTTTTCATTTTACTAAAACATCCCATATATTTTACAACATATTTACTTAATCAACCTTTCATTACGGAGTGTTTGTTTTGCCATTACGCCCATGACTTTTTATTCCAAAAATACTCTTAACACTTTTTTTTTTTACAGAAAACAAAATTGGCCAAATATAGCCAATAGAGTGGTTGCTCATGTCTTATTAAGGGCAAAAATGGTATTTTTATTTTTATTTTCTTTTGATTAGATTTATTTAAATGAACATTAGGGTCAACACTGTCATTTTCATTGTCATCTAATGAAAGATTGATTAAATCCATTGCAAATTATAAGTGTTGTTTTAGTAAAATGCTAACTATAGGTAGACCTGTTCATGGGTCAGGCCGGGCCGGGCTTTTACTCCTCATTAATAGGATTTTTTCAAGCCCAAGCCCAAGCCTGGCCCAACCAACGGGCCTACAATTTGGGCCCGAGCCCGGCCCTCTTAAAAAGCCTGAAGCCCAGGCCTGAGCCCGAAGCCTGACCTAACAATGATTTTTTTCACTTTTATTAGATTGCATTGTGAGTTCGCCAGTGAGAATGAGTTCGCTTGAGTTCATTGGAGTTCACTGGTGGCATAGTTGTTCATTGGTGAGAATGAGTTCGCTTGAGTTCGCTGGAGTTCACTGGTGGCGCAGGTGTTCACTGGTGAGAATGAGTTCACCTGGAGTTCACTGGTGGCATCGGTGTTCACTGGTGAGAATGAGTTCGCTTGAGTTCACTGGTGGTGCCGGTGTTCACTGGTGAGAATGAGAAGAGAGAGAGAGAGAGAGAGAGAGAGAGAGCGAACTCACCACCGCAGTTAACTGGTGGCGCCGATGTTGAGTTCGCCTCTGAGAGGGTTTGCCATTCGCCAGTTCTTGAGAGTTGAGACCTAAGAGGCTGAAAGTGTGAGAATGAGATGAGTAGTCAATTTAGGATTATTAGGATTTAAAGGGGATATAAAAGTCAGGTTGGGCTGGGCTCGGACCGGGCTTTTGTGACAAATCCCAAGCTCAGCCCGTAAAATAGTCGGGCTCAAGCTTTTAGGCCCAAAGTCAAGCCCACAGGCTAAAGTCCATGCGCAAGCCCGTCTGGGGGCCAGGCCGGCCCATGAACAAGTCTAAATATAGGGTAGATATTAATAAGTCCATAAAACTATAAGGGGTATTTTAATAAATGACAATTTCTATTATTTAGCTTTCGCTTAATAAATCCCATACATTACAGGTCCCCACAAGTAATAATTAAAGAATTCCTCCCGTTTTTGTACTCTCTCCACGAAATTTCAAATTTTAATATGTGGCTGATGACAACGAATAAAATTGCTTGGAAGGAGAATGAAAAGATTGTTATCCTACCTC